GGGGGTCTTCCACTGACACCCCAAAGGAGCCTCTGTGCCCCATTAGCTCCTGCCCACCCCACCCCGCTGGCCCTGCCTGCCCTGCAGCCACCCCAGCTCAGCCCCAGGCCAGGGCCGAGGGAGTTACTGGCTCGGGTGTTTCAGTGCAGACTGGCCTGCCTCACCCTCACTCCCGGCAGCTGCCGGGACAGACTCAGTGCTCTAGGGGACATAGGAGCAGGTGAGTGCCGTACATGTGAGGACAGTGGGCATCAGGGCGGCGAACATGAGGAAAAGCATGGAGAAGAAGAGGAAGCCGGTGTTGTTGAAGACCTTGCCGGCGTCGTTGCCGATGTGCAGGTAGAGCAGCCCGATGAGCACCCCGATGCAGATGTGGGACATGAACCGCAGGTGGGTCAGGACCTGCAGGGGCGAGATGGGCTCGGCACTCAGAGAGGGGCAGGGCCATGGCCTACCACCAGCCCTGGGTGCGCCGGGCCACTTGCTGAGCATTCACCCCCGACAGCAAGGGCAGTGATGGGCGCCCTCCACCCGCTGGCTCCAGCAGTAAGGGGGATCCCATGATACAGCCTCTCCCTTCCCTTCTCCAGCCGCCAGACCTTAAATCTCTGCTCCCTCCACATGTGCCTTAGTCCTGCTTCCAACCTTCCCACCCTCTGTCCCCGGTCCCCTCCCCCCTGCCTCCCAATCCTGGACCCTGCTCCTCATAGCACCTGTCCCCTCTGCTCCAGCCTTGGTCTCCGCCCCGTCCCCTGCCCTGGCCCATCCCGCAGCGCCCCTCCCTTACCGTGTCTCTCATGATGGACAGGAACGTTCTCTTGAAGAGGATGCAGAACTGGGTCATGGTGCTGGTGGCAAACGTGTGGCTCTCAATATGATCCACGTCCTGGAGGGGGGTGGGGGGGACCATGACAAGGACACGGAGAGTCAGGGACCCAGGGGCTCTCAGCCCTGACCGGCAGACCCCTCCCCTTGGGTATCTGCTGGGAGCGCGGGCACCAGCCCCACCCACAGGAGCCTTGTTACCCCCAGTACCTCAGGGACCATGGGCCCAGGCCAGGCCAGCACCTGCCAC